TTCAAGACTGAAAGTTATCAGTTCCATCATGAGCACCATCAGGTTGAAGTCCAGATAGCCATCTGAGACCAGCTGAACTTTAGCAGTTACCAATCCAGAAACAAGCTGGCCCAGCCACTTTATGGTTTCCAGAGACCATCCAGACGACACTCCGGGAATCTCTTCCACCTGTTCTCTGCTGCCGTATATTTAATACACCTCCTCAATGCCTCCAGATGCCATATTGGGCAAGGAATGAGAGGAGCGTATAAAATCTAAATGACTAATAATTTACCGAAAGAAACAGGGCCATTCTGGTCCTTATTCAAATTTTGAATACTCCGGTGTTTAACTAGAAGGAGAAATATAAACAGGAAATTATAGGAATAGTACCACTGGCAAGTTAAAGATGTCCCTACCAATCATCAGGGTGTGACTTGTGAAGAAGATCAGATAAGCTATTACAAAATAGCTTTTCTTTACATATCTGAGTTTCAGGTGAGTGATTTTGTGACTTAATTATACTTTTATAATTTGAGTTCATTACAATAAGCTAAAAAAAAAAAAAAGAACAAATGAAGAGTCACCCTTTTCACAAAGTCAAATTTAGCTCAAGTTTTTCTGAGTATATAACACACTCAATCAAGCCTTTCTTAGGATTGCTTATAAAGAATGCTCATGAAGTTTAAAAGAATTTGGATGACCATTTACTTCCATTCATGAAAACTTCCATAAAGTTTCTATTTAATGAAACCTTAAGATAATGGAGTTTTTCATTTCAATTTGGTGGTCAACATGTAGGAAAAAGAAAAGCTCACATAAGAGAAGGGATATAATCAGAAAATCAAACATTGAGGGAAAAAGCCATTTCTTAAAGTGCGGCCTTTACTGTCAAACTGAATTTTGGTGTAAAGTGTAAAACCAGAGGGAAAAAAAGTCAGCTATGCTGTGAACTGCCAAGGGAATTGTTTTTAGTCTACCAATGCTCCAGGTGCTTTTCATATAGAGAGACTTCATCTCATGCTCATGCTTGTTTATTTCTATTCGTATAACTCTAAGCCAGGATGGAAACAGGGACTTTGTTGATCCAATAAATGTGATTTTTAAACTACTTCATCTTACCTAAAATTTCAAACCATTAGGAAAAGTAGAACTATGTACTTTTTTTGTTTTATTTAACCTCAAATTTGAAACTTCAGTTAAATCAGCTTACAACCAATTAATGTCATTTGTTACTAAGTGACCCAAGAAACCAGGAAGAAACTATGATCTAGGTTTGTCAAAGCATTAAATTCTTATGAAATGTCTCAATGTGAATCTTTGTACTTGTCGTAAAAGTAATCCATTTTGGGTGCCTGGGTGGCTCAGTTGGTTGAGCGTCTGATTCTTGATTTTGGCTCAGGTCATTATCTCACAGTCACGAGATGAAGACTGGCATCAGGCTCCGTGCTAAGGGTAGGGACTGCTTAATTTTCTCTCTCTCTCACTCTCTCTTTCTGCCCCTCTACCCTGCTTGAGCTCTCTCTAAAATAAAAAATATTAATTCATTTTGAAGGCTACTTGTCTTGAGGAAACTTTATATTTCAGAAATGGATCAAAAAATAGCTGTCCCTACCCTTACACGTCTTGTTTCAAGATATAACTGCTAAACATTTTTTTAATTCAATAAAGGCTTATTGAGTGTTTATTATGTGCTGGGCCCTATAATAGGCACCCAAGATACAAAGGTACACTGTGGCATCTTGGAAAGGTTGCGTTCCTTCTGAAGGCAGAGGGAAGATTAGGGAGTCTTTTGCAACAGATAAAGGCTTATGGGGACAATGGAGATGTAAATGAGGGAGTGGATTGGAGACAACTTTGAGAAATAGAATTAACAGAATTTGTTGTCAAACTGGATGTGCTGACAGATGAAAATTCAGAGGTAGTTCCCTGGTCTCCAGTTTGGAGATAAAGATGTCATTCAGTGAGATTAGAAATGTCCGGGTGGCAGCAGTACAGCCAGCTCCACATTCCCCCCAGAGATGAAATCTAAATGAGCTACTGTGTCCAGAGAGGTACATGGTCAGAGATAAATGTACTCGAAGTCCATTTTCAGAGCCCCAGTGGGTTTCTTTCCCACATGGAAATGTTTGAACCTGCTTCAGAACCTGCTAAACTTGATCAATGGCCAGTGGCAAATACTCTCAGCAGTGAGTAAAACTCTTCCATGGAGAGGACTCCAGTGCTGGATTAATATTGTATCATACATCAGCCCACTGTCTGGGCTGATGCTTCTGAATCCATTCTAATTAGCAAAGCGTGCTCAAGAGTTAAAAGGGGCCACTCATGGCCTCAAACACACTGAACAGAGACCGGGGGGCTTAGGTTCTATCTCAAGCTCTTGCATCTGTAGCATTTGAGGGAGGAAAGTCATGTCACTTCTTCTATATCTATGTAAGATTAGGATCCACGCTCACTACTAACTATAAAAGTCCGTAATTCCCCTTCCCATAACTGTACATTGAAACAGACAAAATGAGGGGAAATTCATCAAAATGAATGCTAGGGAAAATGAAACTGTTCAACTTCTATTTACATCATGAGGATTTATTTCATATCACATTTATAGCATGTGTGAGGCATTCTGAAAGGATAAATGGTTGAACAAGACAATGGCCTAAGACCTATGGTGACCTCGTTTAAATTTCACAGTATGAAGATGCCTATAACTTAGAATTTTGAAAGATGAGTACTTATTTAGCACAAGATTATTCATCCTCCTAGTTCTGATTTTAAGTAAACAATAACAATTAGGCCACAAGTTCGTAGAATTAACTACATACACCTCTTTAATGTTAACTATTAAGAGGCCTTCCACTAAGATATGAAGTAAATATCTACTTGGAGGGTTTGGAATTAAAATTTCATGCTGTTAATAAAAATCAGTACTGATAGTGTCCTAACATAAACTAGATCATCTTCTGATCCTGATCAAAAGGCTTCAGCTCTGCCTCATACTCCAGCTCTTTCTTGGCAAAAAAGGTAAACTAATTCAAAAACAAATATTAAGGACGTAATAAAGGGCTCTTTTGCACATTCATTATATTCACAGTGAGGGAAATTTTCTATCCTGTCAATATCAGTATATGTAACATAAAATCATCAATTCCATAGCTGGGAGCTATGGTAAAAAGAGTACCCTAAAATTGTAAGTAAATCTTCAGCTTTATCTATAAACCTGGTAAACACATTAGATTTCCATTGAGATAAATGCTACACAATGTATGTCATGATCAAACATCTCATTTTCTTCTAGAATAATAGCAGCCACCATAAAGGAGTATCTCGAATATGTCCTTGGTGGTTAACCTACACTTTAATCCTTTCAAGAAACTCACAAAATAGATATTATCAATGAGAGACTAAATATCCTGAGAATTTACATGACTGGTCCAAAGCCACACAGCCAATGGTAATTGATGACTTTGCCATGTGGACCAAGTCTCTCTGGCCTGAAAAACAGCTCTACTCCATTAAACAAAATGCCTCTTTGCCCTTACTTTTTAGTCCTTCAGGCTTTTTCTTGAACTTCTCTTTCTGACAACAGTCAAATCATCCTTTCAAAGATCTCAGACAAACTCAGCATTCTAAGGTAAGCTGTCAGATCTCATTTGGTTCGCCTCATCTACCACTTCTTTGTTTATTCTTGTTCCTCTAAAATCTTCCTTTTCCAAAGCTGAGAGTTGATAAAACAGGCTATTTTAATCACAACGAAAATGTTATACACCATTCGAAAGGAAAATATTTATATATTCATTGGTAGTGTTAAATATACGCAATGGTTATAAAAGTAGTAGCATGCTAACTATTATAGCAAAATTAATTAATAAACCCAGTCTTTCTGTATAGTTAAATCCATGCTGGCTCTTAATCTCTGTCTTTAGTAACCTATTTTAAAATGCTCTTCCAATTAATCCAACATTTTCTCGGGGATAATCCCAAGGGCAGGATAATCCTTATATGTTCCCTGTGTCAGTTCAGCCTCTTAGTCACAATCAACGAAGCATACAATCACCTACAGGAAACCAAACTGCCCATCGTTACTTTTATCCAGGCTGGGATTTCCTTCCCTCCCTGGAACACCAGCTTGCCTGCTTTACATCACTTGAGGCTTAAAATAAGGAACACACCACAAATCTTTTTTTCCAAATTCTCTCCCATATTAAATTCTATGTTCATAAAGACATGCAGACCCAATCTTGAATTTCTCACTATACTGAGAATCTCCAACCTCCTAGGATTTTGCCTTGCCTACAGACATTAAACCTCTGGGGGAAAGAAGACTTCTCTATCACCAGAATGCATCCATTCCTCCCTCACGACAATAACTGCTTGTGCACATTCCTCCCTACTAAACAATTCATCCCAAAGGGTGCAGTTAAAATCATGCTCACTCACCACTGTGACTGCTGTTTCCTTCCTCTAAGTTTCTCAATTATGCACAATGTCATTTCATTCTGACTCTTACCACAGTCTATTCTTAGTTCTTTTGTCCTCTCTTTTGCTGCCTATCTAGCTCATCCAAGAGCTTGAGCCTATCCAAGCTCATCTTCTTCCTCATCCACACTGTCCAGTTATCTGGACAACTCTTTACTTTCACCTCACAACTGCATTTTTTGTAATCGAAAACTTGACTTGATACAATGATATAAGTGTTGTATGGTGCCAGCTGGCAGCTACACTTGTGGTGAGCATAGAGCATAGCAGGATGTATAGAGAAACTGAATCACTATGTTGTACCTGAAACTAACGTAACTTTGTGTGTCAACTATATTCTTATTAAAAAGACTAGCCCTATTAAGTCAAAAAATGTCATCTCCATGAGTTATTTTCATTTATCTGTGTTAAATATACTTTTAGAACTTTGCATTAGAGAAAAGCAAAAAAGATAAAACAAACATCTAAGTATTTACACATACAAGTGACCTGCCCTCCAAAATCTTGCAACAAAAGTAACTTCATATGTAAATAAGATTTCACCCTTCAAAATAAAATATTTATTTTACAAAATAAAAGGAAATAATGGTGATCTCATTGATAATCATAAAAATATATGTCTAATCATAGAAAAACAGCAAGTCATTTTCCCAGCTACTTAAAAATATTTTAATCATGCAAAACCAATATAATGTACTCTAACATAATGCTAAAATGTTAACCAAGATGAAGTGGCTTTTATTCATTTTACAGGATGTATATTTGGCAATAGTTTTTTAAAAATAATTACTGTAAAGGAACTCTAAATATATTATTTCAGAAACAATATTTTAAAATACAGCAGTAAGCAACGGAAACTATTGTTCTTTATACATTTTTGGCATAACACTGCCATACAATTACAGAATTATAAAACAAGTGTTTCATAGTACCATACAGATCCAGAAACTGGTTACAACTCCTACCACATACACATGGTATTGGTACTAACAGACATGCACAGCATTCTGTAATTCATACTGCAGTAGAACACAGGGCACAGAGAAGACCCAGCAGCTGCTGGAGAGTCAGAGCTTATGTGCGAAGTAAAACACACATCTTTTGAAGAATCATACCCATTTTCTTGAAAGACTGAAAAAACAAAGGACACAATAGTTTCCAAAGTGAGATAGTGCCTGGACCCAGTTGGCCATCTATCTTCTTAGGTAATACTAACAAAAGGCCAATATCTTAAGAAATAAGGAAATGGTCTTTTAATAAAGTAAGTCTTTTAATAAAATAATAAAATAAGAAACAAGTAAATGGTCTTTTAATAAAAAGGAAAAAATGCTTATTAAGGGAGAAGCTAACACTTTGCTCTCAGTTATTTCTCTTGATTGTAATGCCTTGATTGTATTAATGACAATTAATACATTGTCAACTCTCGTATGGGCGATAGTCACTTCATGTGTAGACAATCACATTACTGAGTCTTAACTCAGCCACTCCCCCAATTTAATTTGTTAGTAAAACCACCAACTATTGATACACACTGGCAAAAAAAAATTAAACTTGGTATCTGATCATTTGCCTACTTCTATCAGTCTACTGAAAGGTTTCAGTTTACTGTAGAGTAGAAAGAAGTCATGGTTGAAATGGGAGTATTAATGGGATTCTGTTTGCCCGCCAATCCCTTGATCACCTAATGTACAAAAAACCAGAGCTAATTCCAAAATCACATCCCTACCATGAAGCTTTCATGGATCTTTCCTCATCTGCTTCCCATAATTGTGTCATTTGTACAAACCTAGAATTGGTTATTCTTTATTTCTGTTGTAGGTTTCTTGTTATTGTCTCTAATCTTTTGTTTCATTTGTATTTTCCTTTTCTCCACATGAAACTAAATTTTCTATTAGCACCACAAACAATAATGCTCATCTGACCAAAGGCTACAGGACTTAGACATTTCTTAGAACCAAGATTATTATATAACTAATCTCTCTGATTGACATAAACTGTTCTACAAACTCTGCCATAAATTAAAAACGAGAATATGATAAATTTCATAGCTTAAATATATTTTCATAAGGTTTTGGATTCTTTGTTTAAAAAGAGTCTTTTAGCCTAACAAATTATCAACGTCTTTTCACTTTCACTTCATTTTTAATGTACACTGAGTCATCTTATAAAAACTTTTAAATATATATCTATGAAAGAACAACTTAAAAGAACTTTGATTGAAGAACTAGGAGGAAGGGTGGGCGGAAATGGTATTTCAATGTTTCCCAAAATAGTTCTAAAGATTCAATTTACATAGCAAGTGTCCAATTGCTCACAATTTCCTAACTACAAAATGGTAGCAAATTATAACAGATATTTTGTGAAAATTGATAACATATTAAAATTATGTATAGAATCTAAGGTAACCCACCCTCTTCAGAAGCCGGGGATAAGAAAGCTCAACACTCTTCTGAACCAGAGGAGGCTCTGAGGATCTGTAATGACTTTGGAGAGACTGGAACCCAGTGTTGGCTCCACTTTACCAAGATGCTCACCTGATTCTTACTCCCCATTCTGCACTCTACTTCCTGGCACAGTATGAGCCATAAAACAAAGCACTTAATTGTATTCTCTAACATGAAAACTTTAATTCAAGAAAGAAACATTAAGAAGCTATTTCCCACAAATAACTAAAACAATAATTCTCAACAGATCAAGAAAACAGATGACAAATAACATTCTAATCTAGGAAAAAAAGCAAAAACAGTGTTTTTTAAATGTTTTTAATAAGAAAAGTAATTTCAGATTCCTCCAACCATCTACTGGAATTAAACTTCTAAATAATTCTCTAATAGAATTCCATTTTCTACATCCATCTGCAGCTAAGAACAAGAAGTAAAATACAGACAAATATTAATTGTAGTAACTGAGAAATGTTTAAAATGAAATTCATAGCATGTAGCAAAATCAAACAAAAGCGTAAGTAAATGTAACAACGTAGTTAACATTACTGTAAATACATTTTGTCAAACATAACACACCGTTGAACACTGTGGCAAATACACCTCCTTATGAACTAATACTATTGTCACAAAGGGAAATTTCTCCAAAATGAAAAAGCACCAAAGAAAGTTCATTAAAATAACTGATATTCATGGTTTGGAAAGTTCCTCATGGCAAGATTTTACAATGGAGTAAAAAATTCAAACTTCTGAATGAAAACCATCTATATTAGTTAAGGCACATCTGGACACCTCCAGGCATTCATATTTATAACTATATTATTATTAACTTCAATAATAAGGGATTTCTAAAACCACAGTCTGTCCCTGAACACAATCTGCTGGGTGGGCTGGATAACTAGAACAGGGATGGAAGCAGGGTAGTACTCACTGTCACCCTAGAAATTACCCACACAAATCTGTTCATGTAATAAACACTACAGAATTCAAAGCTGAAAGAAGTCAGTATATGTAACTCCTAATTTCTAGATCCTACATTGACTCCATCATCGTTCTCTATAACCTTACCTACATTTGAAATGATCCTAGCATGTCTAACTCCAGCCTACCTTCTATTTAACACATATAGCCCAAAAAACAAAGAGGAGTTTTCTAAGCGGGAGACAAATTAGAAATCTTCAAAACCATTCCTATAACAAAGGATCCCCACTCAGCACAAATAGGCATGAAAGACCCATAGATGAAGCTATAATCAAGTAAGATCAAGAATGTCCTTCTTTTCTCAGGTTAGAAAATAAAGCTTTTAGAGGAGCCTCAATTATAGAAAGACAAAAAAAAAAAAAAAGGCCCATTTACTCAAGAGTATAAATCCAATCATAACTCTATTACAAACTTGGGAAATTTAACTTTACACAATGAACCAACTATTCCCTATCAGCTCAACCAGTTTTTGACACTTGATATGGGAGTTTACCTACAAAAATGGCTTTTTAAAGAGTAACAGATGTAACATTGCACTGTTTTTCCTTTTTCACCAGATCATATCTTCACTCAGATTAAAGCATAAAAACTAAAAGAAATGTTGGTAATTTTATATAAAATATGAAACAAAATGACTATGATAGATATGAAATGACATTTTCATGTTTACATTGTTAATACTGAGCAAAAAAAATCTTAGAACTTCTCTAGTAACTCCTGAGTTGCATATTTTATTTTATCCTCGAAGCTGAAAAATGTAGTCTCAAAATCAAAATTCAAAACAAAACTATGCAAAATAATTTTTGAACTGAGAACTAGACCTGATTTAGAAAAAGCAGACACATTTTCTCTTCTATCATGATTCTTTTGAGTTTCTTATGAGATTGAGCATGAAACTGTATAATGGTACAATATTCTTAATGTTATAAACTTTTTCTCTGCTGTACAGAAATATATCTTGTAATTATATATCACTTTACAGTATTTCAAAATACTTTCACATATATTATCTCCTTAGAGATATGAAAGCACAAAATATTAGAAATGTACGAGACTAACCAAGCGATATAACATCTATCTGCCATGAAATGCAAGTAAATATTTTATCAATAGCCAATGTTTATATCCTCACAGTCCAAGGTACAACAATAAAGTCTATATATTTGCAAAGATTCAATAATGTTTCTAGCTATTTGGTCATGCTTCGTTGCATTTTTAAAACAGCTTCTCAGTAAATTTCTGCAAGCATATGGTAGTTTTTAAAAATACAAAACATTAGAGACAAACCCAGAAGGCTGTTTCATATCTAAGACCCACATAAATACGTATCTATAGATATTATTTAAAAAACTATTAATTTTACAAAGTATTCTTTATAGAAAAAAATTATAGACATAATTTTTATCTGCAAAAGGAATGACATCCTCTTATTTGTTCTCCACTGAGGAATTCTCTCATAAATTATTTGCGGATTAAATGTAGGAATCATACTGTTACATATGAATATGGATTTTAAAAACAACATTCTGGGAAAAGGCCACTGTTTATAAATGTAGGCCAGGCAGTTTTTCCCTTGAGACTAAATATTCTCAAATTAACTGTTGCAATCTAATCAAACCCCTAATTAGGAATAATATTCTAAAAGTTAAATTGTTGAATGAAGTGTTTTTATTTGTAAGGGCTCTGATACACTACAGTTTCTAAGCAATTCAGATTATATCCATTTATTTTAGTCTCTGTCCACTGTTTATTAATATTTTAATATCTAGTCACAAATTTTAAATATTTTGCACTTAGAAAGCAGTCTGAACACTTTTTCATGTATTCAAAATTGCTAAGATATTTTGAATTAATCATGTTCCTACAGTTCAGCTCAATGTAACAACTACTCTCATCTTACCCTGTAAAACTGTTTTTTGAGCTCTATGGGGACATTGCTATAAGCAGCACATTACAGGGCCCATACAAAAAAGAAACTGAAATGCAAAAGCAGAATTGTTTCTGCTTTTGTAGAAAGCAGAAAGCAAAAATTGGGATACTCTGGGAACCAGAAATGAGAAGATGCTTTATAACTGGAATATGATATACAACTTGGTTAATAATATATTAAAAACTCAAGTTTCAGCAACTATGATGCTTCATGTAAACTTCAAAGCAATAAAATCATACTTCTAAAGGCATACAATTGGTATATTTTCTAGAAATTCTCTGCTGGAAATCCCCCGATTATAAAGGTTAACAGAGGATGATATGATGTGACTAACAAATAAGACACAGTAAAAATTCTCTGGGGGTTAAGGTGAATCTAAAAGCCCAAGAGACACACAATTGCCAATTCTTCTCTAAATGAAAGTGAATTTTTTTTTCTATTAGTTGCTTTAACTATATTTGTATGTATGCTTTGAAGTTCTCATCACAGTGATTATTTTCTGATGTGTAACATTAGTAATAATATTACAGAAAGTAAAACTACATACTCTTAACCAATATTAACGCAATAAGTGCTTGCTAAAACTGAGAATACAGAATTTTAAATGTTCTGAATTTCAAGGTTTGACTACTTAGAGATACTTCAAATTGTTTTCTTTTTTAAAGATACACTGGACTAAGCAATATTGTTAATTTCACAGCCCACAGAACACTGAGATAGTCAAGGTTTTAGGGACCACTGCCTTGTTACCAGTGTAAGAAGCATGCTATTTAAAAATGTGTATTTTCTTTCCTTATTTTTGAATTCGTTAGTCATTTGCATTCAGAAACAAGCACCGAATTTATATGGAACAGCCATAAAAGCAAAATCCTTTTCTTGGACTTTTGCATCAAAATTTGTTTTTAAGCATTTAACATAGAAAAACATTTTTATTATTTTAAAAAAGCAAATTCTTGATATCATACAGTTAAAAGTGCCCCTCTGTTTGATTTAAATTTCAGTACAGGGGATCACTGGAATGTACCCTAGAAATGCACATGCTGGCCTACAAAGATGGCAAATGAAGGCAAGTGCAGAGACAGGAAAAGAGGAAAGGACAGTGGAAAGCCCAAGAAATGGGCTGGGTGATTATGGCTTCCTAAGAATATCCATTTCACATACCAGAATTTAAAAAGAAACATCTTGAGGTGTTGTAATGAAGATTCCAAATTACTTTCTGAATACATTTGAATCGACTAAATTTGTTTTCCCAGCTTTATGAATCCATAAATTGGGCAATTATGTGGCAAAATAATGAAATTTATCCTCTTGATTTTCTTCATGTAGACCGTAATCTCCCAAAAGAATTTATTTGATATATCAAATACTACATGATTATTTCCACATACACTGAAAATAATTTAAAAGCAATTATTATGCACAGAACTTGGAAACTCACATCCTAAAAGTGCTAAAAGTGTTAGAGAATACATTCATTTATTGGGTCCTGCTTAAAACTTCTTACTAACTATTAAATTCATTATCATTCAAAATAAAAAACCAACAACAAACTCTTTACAACAGAAATTACAAACAGATCGCTAAAATTTGAAATGACCTCTGTTCTTCAGGATATATTGTACAGTTTTTCCTCCCTTACCTATACACATTTGCGGGTTTTCTGATAATTCACTGTAATGGTACATCATCAGGGGAGCCTGTATTTCCAGGATTTTCACAGTCTTTGTTGTGATTTTCACCCTCTTCATCTTTTTCAGGAGGAATTGCAATTTCCTTCCTCTCTGTAGGATGGCTGACTGCTTTTTCCAGTTGAGAATTTGAATTTTCAGCATTACCGTCCTCTGTCTTTGACTTGGTGGCTTCACTGCTGGGCTCTGTGCTAGGCCTGTCTGCCTCTTCTCCAGCCCCTCCAGGTGCCGCTTTTTTTTCTTCAGCTGTTTTGCTATTCAAATGAATAGCTGAGGAGGAATTTTTAGAGTCCTTGGATTTTTTGTGCATAGAAGTTTGACTGATATGACCAGAGGTGGGAGGGGCAGGCATTTTCTGGGCTTTGCTTCCCTCTGACTGTTCTTTCCTTGGCGGTCCCCAGATAAAATTCTCTGAAGGCGTGTAATGTTTCTGGGCAAACCGTAGGAGCTTTCTCCTCTCTCTCCTGTCTCTAATTGTATAAACAAAATACTCCAGAGCACTCTGTTTAATATTGGGAATAGTGTTTTCTACAAGAGCTTCATGAAGAATAAATTTTACAAGAGGAGATTTAAAACTTTCATATCCAAGCTCACCAAGGCTTTTGAGAATACGAGTGATTCGTAAATAGTTGTGCTGGGACCTGGAAGAGAGGATTGAACAAAAAATGTAGCGGGGAAATCAGGTGAGGGAAAGTAGGGGAATAAAAAGTATTAGAAAAATCATTTTTAATGGAACTGTAAGCCATGGAAATATGCATTACAATTTTAGTGAAAGTCATATTAGACACCATAAGAAGGATAAATTAGAAGTTATTAAACTCTTATACTTCAATGTAATGCCAATCTATGTGAAATTCAAATGTGAAATATAAATTCCTCTTGTTTCTTCATATTTGAGAGATATTTAGGTCTAAAATTTATTCCCACTCATGTTGAATTGTTGTTTAATGTTAAATACACTGAGGATGTGATCTACTAGAGCATTTATTTGCAACGACGCCTGCTGTACCGTGCCCACCACAGGTAACTAGTCCCAAACATGAATGCAACATCAGCTATCAGCTGAAGGTATGATTTAGAGTGTCAGAAAAATCCACCACACTGGCCAAGTCATAAGGTAAGCAACAAAATCCACTCTACTTTACTGGAACAATTCTGACAAAGGCTGCAAAACTGACTTATTTAGCAGAACACAGTTAACAGCATGGGCTCTGAAGTCAGACCTGGAGTTTATACCATGGCTCTGCCACATACAGCTATAAGAAATTATGGTGTCTTCTTCTGACTCAATATGCTCACCTGTAAAGTAGGGGAAATGGCCAATATTTCAATGGACTTTTAGAAGAATAAAATGAGTTGAGACATATTCAGGGCATGTAGAACTTAAAAAATATTAGATACTATTTAAAATCAATATTATTGCTATTATTTAAATCTGGTACTAAGGACCACCATATATGTACCTATCCCCACTTAATTACCTAATTGTCTTCCATCCATGCCTTCTCTCTCCTTCTTTTTCCCGGAGAATTTTAAATTTTGCTTCTAATGGCATAGACTCCCAAGATGCCTTTTTCCCCAAATTGCACAAACTTCTTCTCTGTCCTCAAACTAAGGCCGTTATCAGATGAATGCTTTTCAAGCTTATCTATCACAATTCATAATATACCTACCCTACATCACTGGGCCAATAGTTGCCTCATTTACAAATACCTGGCCACATCCTAAAAGAATCTTCAGCTACACATATTAATCATGTGCCATCAGCAGCTCAGGTATTTATTTAACCAATATTGACACGCAACCATAACAACCACTTATTTCTAACTTCCTAAAATCTGTTTTATACATCAGACATTGAACTTTATACAAGCAATGCATATACCTGCTTTGGTTTCCAGAAGTACTTACAGCATTTCGCTTATAAATAACTAGCTAATTATTTGGGAAGGGTGAAGAAGGATGTTAAATTACTTGAGGGACAAAAGGGGGTAGTTCTATAGCCTTACATTTTAATAATAAAGTTTGTCTGGACAAAACAAAATTCTTTTTTTTCAACGTTTATTTATTTTTGGGACAGAGAGAGACAGAGCATGAACGGGGGAGGGGCAGAGAGAGAGAGGGAGACACAGAATCGGAAACAGGCTCCAAGCTCTGAGCCATCAGCCCAGAGCCCGACGCGGGGCTCGAACTCACGGACCCCGAGATCGTGACCTGGCTGAAGTCGGACGCTTAACTGACTGCGCCACCCAGGCGCCCCAAGGACAAAACAAAATTCTTAATGAGTCAGGATAGATAAACACTGAAAAAGACAAGTCTGGCAGTTTTTATCATCCCCATTCTTCTGGATGTTTCCTACAAAAGTATTATCTTAATATTCAACTCTTTGAGGCCAAAAGGTAAAACACAGCAGAGATATATTTCAGCCTCATGAATCTATATTTTTTAATAGTGGAGAAGTTAAGAGTCTTCTGAGACAACACAAATTTGAATGAGGTTAAGACAATCTGCCATTAATAGCAGAGATGACTTAGTGTTAGGTTAGTATGGGGTATATACTCTCCAAAAACTTAAGCAACATCTGCTTCATAAATCTATGAAAAAGAGATACATGGAAAAGCGAGGGAACATTTTTCTAAAAAATCCCAAAGATGAGTTATATAATCCAACAAAATTGTCTATGTTTGCAACCAGCTCAATTGCAAACATCCAGTCGAAGACGAATGACCAAGATAAAATTTCTGTACACATTTATCTGTATCTATGCACTCTTCAATTTAAAATATTTACATTACATAAAATATGTACACAACAACCCAATATTTACACTGAGTTCAAGAGAATGAAAATCAGGACTATGGAACAAAATTGTACAAGAAAGAAATTGAGTGTGTCAGTATGATTTGAAATAAATTTCGCAAATGAAGACAAAAAGGAAGAGAGGACACCAGCTGAAACCCACCCAATATTGTAAGCAGCCTCTGGGGTTGCAAAGCAGATAAAAGGGAGAAGCTGGGCTTCCCAACAGAAGTAAGGGCAGTAAATTGCCCTGAAAAAGTCAGGAAGACTAGGTAGGTGAAGAGAGAATACACAAAAGGCAAGAACCAGGAGACAGGAGATAAAAGTTAGAAGCAATTCCAGGGTCTAAAATATGGCTCAGTAATCTAAGGTGATTACAAATAAAACTGGAAATACAGCTTAGTGGTTGGTCTATATGTTTGTATTCTCATGTTCAAAAATATTTCACTTCTTTTAGTCATGGTCACTTGTTCACTGAACATTATTTCATTTCACTTTCATTCAGTTTTTTTTTTGGTCCGCTGGGCTACTATAAATATATTGAGTTTCCTGCCTACTCTAAAAAACTCAAGATGTCATACAGATTAAAACACAAATAAAAGCTCTGTGCAACACCCAAGGAAAGAAAAACGAGAGACAGTGGGTGGCAGAAAGAAAAGGATCTGAATGAGGCAAAGGGAATATGACAGTTAATTCAGGCTCCTTTCCCCTGACCCAAGCCAGGAGATCATTTTAATTAAAACCTTCAGAAGGGTTCTGTTTCCAACTGTCAGTTAGAGGATCTGAAAATAAAACCCCAAGGAGGATTTAAGCTGGCAAATGTTATTTTGTTCAGTGTTTATTCATTCAACAAACAGTTACTAAACAAGATTTCTATTCCAACCAAAATTAACAAGTTGGGGATGGAGATGCTCTAAAATAAAAGTTTACCATCCTACATGTCAATAGGCTATTTGCATACAGCTTTCATTGACAGTGGGACATTAAGTGCTTAGAAATTCTGTGCAAAGACAGCGACCTGCATTGCTTAGGCAGAGGCATAATATACTTCTGCTATAAGTGCCCTATATATATCAAATTTAACTTGAGTTATGAGTTAATGGGTCTTCTAGTCAGGATCATAAAGCTTTACGCCCATATCTTCAGTGTTTTAGTACAAGCTACCATTTTAATAGTGTTGATTATAACTAATAAAGTAAAAAGAAGGCTTAAACATTAATACTTATACTCATTTTAGCAAAGCAAGATGAAAGTTCTAGAAAAACACCAAAAAATTCAGTTAATTGATGCTCAAAACTGTTTTCAGCAAAGAAAAATTTCTTAGGTTAGCTTTTTTTTTTTTCTCTTAGTACTTGCCCAGTTCGGCTAATTATAATGTGCTTTAAAAAAATGCTTTAAAGCTGCTGGTTTTATGGTCCAGCATTCATAAGCCACCCTATAATTAAAATGAAAAAAATTCAGTTTGCATACAAAGAAAATACCAAGAAAAATAAACTCTGGGTATAAGTATTAATGAAAGTTATAAATATCCAGGCAAAAAAAAAAAAAAAAAAAAACCAGCAAATCAATCCCAAATAAACTATGTTAAAATTCTCTTCACAGATTTTAGGATTTATTAAGCAAAAATGGGCTTTTGTTTTTACTTAAATAATGACGATTCTAATTTTCCCCCTTTTTTAGAAATGTACAAGCCCATTTCCTTCTTATAAAATGATTTTTTTTATGTCATAGGCTTCATTTATAGATTTAGTCTAAGAAGGTACCATGCTTGAGGAACAGACTGTGCCACAAGAAGCTCACAGCCTAGCCGAGGGGAGCTGGAAAAATGCATACACAAAATAAGTACAAATGCCAAGATACATGCTATAAAGAGGGAGAGAGGCCACACTTGGCTTTGGGCAGTAGAGAGGTTTCAGGAAGAAACAGCTGTGAAGCAGAATGGCCTTATTTCTACCTGGAATTTCACTCTTTCTTATAGCTATTTTGTTGTGCTTTAGATGGGACAAGGAATAAAATGCATTTCAGACTAGCTTTTGAATTCAGATTCCTGGGTCCATCTACTAGTTAGCTGTTCCTATGTTCCACGGAGAATTCTAACCAAGAAAAGATAACATGCTGGCCCCTGGTGTGCCGTTGGGGCTTTACTTACTCATTCAGATGCTGAAATCTTTCCTGCCAGTTAACAGCACGAGCAACATTTCCAGTTTTATCAACCAGTTTTATTCCAAAAAATTCTAACATCATCTTATAAGCCAGGAGGAATCTTTTAATTGCTTCTTTCGTTTTTTTGAATTCCTGAGGGGGAGAAAAAAGTCAGCTGAAATGATTCAATAGTTACCAGGACAATAAATAGCAATATTATTTGGTAATCGCATATAAAATGAAATGAGCTTGCATTACCTCAATTTCATATGTAGTTAATTCTTTAGCATAAAAATTCAAGCCTTGTTCTCTCAGGGGGAAAAGCCTATTTTTTAGAAAAATAATATTATTATATTAATGCTATCTGAAAAACATACATGATTAAATAGGACATGGTTCAAGATACATAAATGTAACTGACCATTGAATGTAAGTGTGGTTGTGCTCCAGCTTTTCATAATCTCCTTTCCACTTATTTAGAACTTCTTCAATGTAAACACCTAGACAGTAAACATTTAGAAAATGAGCCAGACATTTAAGACACTGTTGATGACATTTTAATATTTAATCAATCTTTATATTAAAACCTCTGAAATGTAATTATAGCATGTGAAAATACTGTTTTTAAAAAATGTTTATTTATTTATTTTCAGAAAGACAGTGCAAGTGGGGGAGGGACAGAGAGAGGGAGAGAGAGAATCCCAAGCAGGCTTTGCTCTGTCAGCACAGAGCTCAATGTGGGGCATCCCAGGAACTGTGAGATCATGACCTGAGCCAAAATCCAGAGTCAGATGCTTAACCGACCGAGCCACCAAGGAATAATGCTTTCAAAAGAAAAATACCTAATGCCATATGCTCAGTTATGTAATAAGCCTAATTTTTAAAAAATCAGAGGCACCACAAATCACAGAAAGTCTATCAGTGTTACTCTAAAGCAGAGGCTGACAAAGTACGGTCTGCCATCTGTTTTATAAAGTTTTATTGGAACACAGCCATGCACATTCACATTTATATATTTTACACTACAATAGTAGAGTTGAGTAGTTGCAATAAAGACTAATGGCCCACACACCTGAAAATATTTACTACCTGGTCTTGTACAGAAAAAGTTTGCCAACCCCTGCCCTAGATGGTCATACAGTTCTTTAAAAACAAGACGGGATCGGGGCGCCTGGGTGGCTCAGTCGGTTGAGCGTCCGACTTCGCTCAGGTCACGATCTCACGGTCCATGAGTTTGAGCCCCGCATCGGGCTCTGTGCCGACAGCTCAGAGCCTGGAGCCTGCTTCGGATTCTGTGTCTCCCTCTCTCTCTGGCCCTCCCCCCATTCATGCTCTGTCTCACTCTGTCTCAAAAATAAATAAATGTTAAAAAAAAAAAATTTTTTTTTTAAATAAAAAAAAATAAAAACAAGACGGGATCAAAATGGAATGTAGGCAAAAAAAAAAAAAAAAGGAATGTAGGCCAGGAAAAAAAAAAAAAGGAATAAAAGAAAGGTGAGAGAAAAGAGAAGGGAAGAAGGAAAAATGGAAGAAAAAGGACCCAAATTACATACAGTATATATCATCCAGCTTACTCTTCACAGAACTCTCCCAAACCAGTACTATTATCCCCATTTTACTAATGAGGACATTATGTGATTTGTTCAAAGTCACACACTAACAAAAGACTAAATGTAGGAATAGAACACAGGTCTTTCTGTTTCCAAAAAGTAAGTCCTCTTCACCACATTTTATTGTTTCCTCATAAGAACTTATTACAGTTGACCCTGAACAACATGGGTTTGAACTGTATTGTAAGAATACAGTATATAATGCATATCACATAACAAAATATGCATTAATCAAGTGTTTATGCTATTGGTAAGGCTTAAAGTCAACAGTAGGCTATCAGCAGTTAAGTTTTGGGGAGTCAAAAGTTACACACGGATATTTGACTGCACAGGGGTTGGCACCCATAACCCCTATACTGCTCAAGGGTCAACTGTATAACAAAATCCTCCTGCTTCTCAAATTCTGTCTATGTCCTCACAATTGACTATGTGGCCAATTAGTCAATTTTAAGGAAAAAAAAAAACAAAACACAAAATATTTCTCTAAATATAACTCATCTCATTCTTGTTTCTTCCAGAGATCACCAGTTTGTAGTTGAGGCCTACTCTTGGAAGGCTGAGTAAAAAGTTGTTTTTGAATCATACTATTGGCTTTATCAGCAATTTAAAACTATTTACCTCCATAATCTCCCTTCCAACTACCCCTCCACCTACTTACACAAGTAAAATACATCACTGCAGGCTTACGCTTATTGGCAAGTGTATGTGTATGTGTGTGGATACACCCACACAATAGGAAATTGTGTGAGTTGGTGTAATTTATATAATAAACTAGAACACATTCTATGTGACCTTAGATAAAACTCCTGACTCCCACCAACCTTACATGATTTCAAAATAAATTTTGTGATAAAAATTACAAAAAATTAATAACAGTGTTTGAATTTATTACTTTAAATTACTACCTCAAAAATAAATTCGCTACTAGAAATACAAAAATAATTCAGTTAAGTACTCTCATGTTCAATGTTTTTAATATTTGAAGGCATTACTTTAGGTGAATTTTATTAAACTCAAATCAGAGTCAAATTAACCATCACTGCATTTCTTCTGAAGGTTTTCTTGCCCCAGGTCCTAAAAAGCCCTAATAATTTAATTAATATTATTTCAATTAGTAAATAAAACAGTGTGTTTTTATCATTAGTAAATACAACAGAACACTTTTATCCAGAGGTTTCCTCCCAAGTCTGAGCAAACTTTTGGGACACTTTAATTAACATTAAATTAATTAAAGACCAGTGGATTTGGCCATTGGAGCAATGTTCTTAAGTCCTAACTCCTAACTGGTGCATCTCTCAGTGCACAGTACAGGGAATTCCTCCTCCCAACATGCCATCCACCCTTCAGACAGCCCTCCTCCAGTTTGTTCACCAAAGAATACACAGTCCGGCTACTTGGAAAGCTTTGCAATCTATGACCCTCATTCCCTGATTCACTTGGCTGCGGATTTGGCTCAGATTCCACTAAGAGCAAAGAGCAGAAGCCAGGGCCATCTGGTCACTTCACAGAGATAAGGGCAAGGAGAAAAGCCAACTTTGCTGGTTTGACCTGGATAAAATTAGGATGTCCATCATGAACCACAGCATGGTACTTTGGTGAAATATGCATATTACCATAGTGGATGCATCCTCTCCCTATAGGGAGAGAATCTTAGAAAAGATCTTACAAGGGTAATTGTAGAATTGTGAAGGAGGAGGCCGTTTATTTGGCAGGGTTGAATGGAGATGTAGTGTCTCTGTAGTTCCCTTCCCAGGATATTGGAACAGTGAACTGAGACTGCCAGGACCCCCTGACCCCTGAATCTAAAAATCAACAGGAAAGATCATTCTAATACAAATATTACTTTTCAATTATGTTCTAAATAATTTGGGGATATGGCATAGTAAAAAAAATACTGAACTGTGGATCCTAGACCCAACCCTATAATCGAGTGACCAGACAAGTCAGTCATTCAAGCTTTAAGACCCAGTGACCTCATCTTTAAAATAAGGAAGATTAAAAAAAAATAATAAAATAAAGTAAAATAAAATAAAATAAAATAAAGTAAAATAAAATAAAATAAAATAAAATAAAATAAAATAAAATAAATAAAATAAAATAAAATAAAATAAGGAAGATTAATCTGATCTCCTCTAAGGTTTCTTAATAATCTAGTATTTTATGATTCTACAAATTTCATCTCTTTCCCTCTCACAAAAGTGGCCCCCACTACCTTTAAGACAATAGCCCCTGTGAACAAATGGTGGGAAAGTATTGCTAATCCACAGTTATTCCTCTAGAATTTGCCAAGTGGAAGTTCACAAGTCTAGGGTCTAGGGCTTTGGGGACACCTTAGACTACATAGCAAAGTAAAGCCAACCAATGAACAAATGCATTAAGAATGTACTGACCACAGAATAAACAAAGAATAACTAGGTGTATGTTATTATGTAACATTTGCTTTTTACCAAGGTAGCAGATTACTCACCATCTGGCTTAAAAGGAATTTTATTCTTATAAAAACGAAGATTGCTCAAGTCATTTTGATATCGGATATCTTTGAAGTTCTGCTAAAGGAAAAAAATACATCAATCTCCAGCATATGGACATATAAAAAAGGCACAAGGACCCTTCTTGCATGTTTGCTCACTAGCACCACAAAATAACAAAAACAGAAGGGAAATATTTTACATTGTAGAAAAAACATTCTATACTCTTACTGGGTACTGATGTCGGTATTTGTACAAATCCCTCGCAGCATAAAAGCTTCTCTTTGGTTTGGCAGTTGCTTCAGTGGAATCACCACCCTAAAATGAAAAGTAAAATTCCATTTACATGTTGAAGCACAATAATTTCACTGAGAAATTTCTAGAACACCTAAAATAATGAGCATCCATAAGGAAAGCCTGAAAAGTGTCGAGCTGTTCAGAATAATGACAATATTATACATTTGCTTTTAATGTTGCCTACTAGCAACATTTGTTGGCATTCTATTTGCCTGATTTGAACCCAATAACATTTGTCCTAAAATGTTTTACTAAATAAAAAACGATACTATTCACCAAAAGCCTATGGAGGCCAAATGTTCTAGATTAATACTCATTAGAAATAGAACTCAAAATGAATTTAAGACATTTACCTTACCAGAGGTTACACAAGTGATTCTATGACCAAAATTATTTTTGAATACACAATATTAAAAAATTGTTAAGAAAATAAATTCTACAAAGAAAATTATCATTGATTTGCAACATTTAGCTGAACTTAAAGGCAAATAATACTCATGAAAGGGAAAGGGGATTTTTAAAACAACCTAAATAGCTTTCTAAGCTCCATCCTTTATTGCACCATAACAAGTATACAAAGGCATGAATAATCTGTTAATCCAGTGATAACACTATGTGACATAAATCAGCAAGTTTATAATATATATACACAAAGCAGTAAAAGCTCTCAAATGGAATGAACTTCGGATTGTAGTAACTTATGTGTGGTAGTTCATCCATACTATTTAACTTATAAAAATTCTCACCACCATAATGATTTTAAAAGTATAAGATACAGGTCAATATAATGGATTTAAGTTCTCTAACTATATGCATTGTTATAATGCATTAAGAAAGTGCTTTGTGTCCCATGTCATCCAGGACAATAAGACAGATAACAATAATGAAACAGAAGACAATGTTTAGGTCTGAATATTCATTAAGAGTTTCACCTCCCAAATCCCTTTCTCATCATCCCCCACCCCCATCTGTATTGACAGATTAGCATCCTCCAAGCAATTTTCACACATTTTTCAAGTGGTGTGATTCTCACTATTACTACAAGTATAGAGATACTTACTTTAACACCAAATCCTCTGATGTTTAACATTAGCTACTCTGTCATGTTACATAAGCAAGGAAAAGCTTAAATTCTGGTCCTTGCCACACGTTTCAAAATAGCTCTGCCTAGCAAGTTTCTGAATCTATTTAGCCTGAGCTACAACCATATGAATCATCATCTTACATTTGTACAGAAAGCACTTTTCCCATTTACAAAGCATTTACATGTATATTATTTCATTTGATTTTTACGACACACCTGGATGGCAGATATTAGTGTTTCCCTCTTAGAAACAAGGTAACCCAGCCTTAGAGAAGTTCAACAAGGCCCTCGAGCTCAGTGACAGCACAGGATGTGGAATTCCAGGCTCTGGGCTGCAAGTCCAACTAATTAGGCATGAATCCATTTCAGCTCCACTAAAAGTGAAGGAGCATTATAGAAACCTGGGTATAATGTCAACAGCCCAAGACTTGGGCTGTCTTAACTCTGTTACTTATTTGTGAGGCCTTAAGCCAACCACTTAACTGAATCTCCGTTTTATTATCTGTGAAACAAAGATAATGACTCATGCCCTACCTATTTCTCCAGATTATTATGAGAATGATTGCATCCTCCAACCTCTAAATGTACCAACCTGCAGGCATCTGTCTTTGTTCCTCCAGCTTCTGCTCCTTTTGGAATCTCTACCCTTTCCCCTCTCACCTGCCCAGTCAAGGATTTTGTTCCTTAATATATTGTTCCTATTCCCTGCATCATCAAAATTTCTCACACCACCAACAGACTGATGACTGCAGTTCTGGACTAAGGCTCCATTCATCGATATAGTTAAGAACTCCACTTAGACGTCCAAGAGGATATAAAATTCAGGGGAATTCTTAATTTAACCTCTGATGATGCTTTTTCCCTAGACTCTTCTGGATCATTCCCCTCAGCAGACATATGTGTACAATTTCTAAGCTTAAACATATACAATCTTCCTTGACCCAAATCTCCCTTCAAATACAGAGCCATAGCTCTGCTTCCTGCTTTGATAAAATATCACCAAACAATTGTGCATAACCCCTATCTCCTCCTCTTCTCCCATGACACACCCCAATCAGGTTTTCATCCTCAGCATTCTATCAAAATGGCTCTTTCAATGTCACTAACTAATCTCCATTTTACCAAACCATTTCTCAGTGCTCAACTCAGGCAACCTCCCAGCAGCACTGGGCCCGTGAAATATCTCCCTCCTTCCTGCAACACTGTCAGATGTCACACCTCTACTGGTTTCTTCCTATCTCATTGGTTGTCCCTTGTCAGCCTTCTCTTTAGCTCCTCCTCTTCTGCATAGGTTCCAAATTGAGGAGTGCCCAGGGTTTAGTCCTTATTCCTCATCACTCCTTAATGACCACATATCTCCCCTGACTTTCCACACCACCAACAGACTGATGACTGCAGTTCTGGACTAAGGCTCCAT